CAACAACCCAAGTTTCCTCCTAGTCAATAAGCTCCAGTGGCTCTCTATTACCTCCAGGATCAAAGAAAAAAATCCTGTTCGAAGCTCTTCATAACCCACCCCCTTCCTACCTTTCCAGGGTTCTCACACCTTGTTCTCCACCATGTACTTACTTTTGGATCTGGCGACACTGGTCTCCCTGAGGTTCCACAAACAAGATTCTCCATCTCTTGGCTGTGGGCATTTTCTCTGGCTGTCCCTCATACCTGGAATGCTCTTCCTCCTCATCTCCACCTATTGGCTTCCTTTATGTGCCAGATAAAATTCTACAGGAAGCCTTTCCCAACCCCTCTTAATTCTACCCATCTTCCCTCTTTTAATTAATTCCTAATTATCCTGTATATAACTAGTTTGTACATATTTATTTGCTTGTCACCCCAATTAGATTGAGAGCCCCTTGAGGGCAAGGATGGTCTTTCACCTCTTTTTTGCATCCCCAGCACTTAGCAGAGTGCCTGGAACATAGGAGGTGCTTAATAAATGTTTACTTACTAAACACTATGCCTATTGAATTCTTCTTTTGAAATGTTTCTTATATTTTTCTCCTTCTTTTCATCCCTAATCCAGGGCCTTATTATCTCAAGCCAGAACTGTATTAGGTTCATAACTAGTCCCCACCCCCTCCTCCCCACCTCCAAACCATTTGCAAATTGTTGCCTAAAATACTTACTTCTTCAATAACATTCAATGGTTTCCCACTTCCTAAAGACTAAATCTTCAGACCCAGAAAAAAGTCTAGCTAGCTGTAAATGGCAGGAAAAGAAACTAATAATTTTCCTAGTGGATTCCAAATTAAGGACACTATCCTCTTCTAAGCTTTCAGTAAAATACTAGTATAGAAAAATGGAGCTAAAAGGCCTCAGCAAAGCCACCTTCCTATTTAGGGGGTGGGGGTGGGGGGAAGAATGGTCTAACCATAGCTGCTGAATTCTGTTATATCAGTTCTTCTTATCCTTCTCCTTGCCTCAGCTTTTCTTAATTACAGGCTTAATCCTTATAAAATCCAGTTCCAACACTGCCTCCCAATCTTCCAGAACCAAAACTTCAGAATAAACTCTTTTTTATTCCCCAGATCCAATAGGTTGCCATCCTAATGATTCTTCCAGCTGCCTTTTTAGTCTGTCTTCTAAACATTTTTTTACCACACCACCTAATTCCTCCAATTATCCCTTCACATTTGGATTATAGCAGCCCTCAACTCACCAAGCCATCTACTTAGTCTTCAAACCACTGATGAATCTCTTGGGTTCTGTACCCCTCTTTTTCAACCCAGTAACTCCCCGAATTCCCTGTATTTCAGCCAAGTTTCTCTTCACTGTTCCCTCTCTAGTTCAAGCTTTTGCTTGGGATGATCCCTTTTCCTCTACCCCAGTCTCCCCTCTCCAATCCCCCTAATAAGTCATAGGGAAGTGCCAAGGAATTCCCTTCACTAATGCTAGCTGTCACCTTCTCTGCAACTTAAGGTCTTAAGAGAGTTGCCAAGAGCGCTTGAGAAGCGAAGTGATGAGTCCCTCATCCCAGTAAGTATGTATCTGAGCAAAACTTGAACCCCGATCCACCTGGCAGGTTTCCACTACACCCCACTGCTTCTTAAAAGCCCAACTCAAAAGTCACCTTCTTGTAACATAACTTACCTTCTGTGATACCTTCTGTAATCACTTTCCTGTTAGAATCTCTAATTTGGCCTCATAATTGTAGGTGTTTTTTCCTAAAGCTCCCCTAAGTGTAAACTCACCAAGTGAAGGATATCTCATACAGTCTGCAGCCTTAATAGTGCCTTTTAAAAGTGTACTTATTGAGCATTAATAAATGCTTGTTGGATACCTTTTCCTACATCTTTACAGCTGCTTAAAAATGTGAGCATGTAAACAGTGACAGTGGGAAGAAACTACAGATATTGTACAGTGCTATAAGGCCTATTTAATTAGCAACACATTTGTAGGTCATGAAATGTGAGGGGGAAATTAATCCATTATTACCTGATCATAAAAATGCATTTTATGCACTTTTGAGAAATTTAGGACAAAAGCTTCCCACGTGTTTTAAGAACTAAGCCACGATCCTCAATGAACCAAAGAAAGAGGCTGCCACCTAAGCAGGATGAGGTTATAATGCTTATGTATCTCTTAGACGACTGTAGCAAAGTCCTTGGAAACACAACAGTGTTCTGGTTTCATATAATCTGGCTTTCAAACTTATTCCACTGAAATTGTTCTCTCCAAAGTTACTAATGATTTCTTAGTTGCCAAATCCGGTGGCCTTTTTCCCATCCTCATTCTCCTTGAATTCTCTTCAGCCTTTGACACTGCTGATCACACTATCCTTGATACCTTTCTTCTTCCCCGGGTTCTGGTTCACCCCTCCCTCTGAGTTCTCCTCCTACCTATCTGTCCACTCCTTCTGTCTCCTTTGCTGGATCCTCTCACAAATCAGCCTTCTAACTTTCTGCATCCCTTCAGTGTTTGGTCTTGGACCCTCTTCTCATCTCCGTCTATTCTACCTCACTTGACTATCTCATCAGCTTCCAAGTATTCTATGCTAATGACTCTCAAACCTACCTATCCCAGACTGAGCTCCCACGCTCTCTGCTTACCTCCAATCTTGAATCTCCTAAGGCCTTTCAGACATCTAGAATTGGTTGTCCAGTAGATATCTTAAACTAAACATGCTCAAAACTGAACTCATTAACTTTCTCCCTAAACCCTCCCCCACCCCTCACCTTCCCTATCACAGTGGAGGGCAACATCATCCTTCCAGTCCCTCAAGCTCACAACCTAGGTGTCATCTTCACTCATATACCCTGCTGGCAAACCCTGTCAATTTCACCTTTGCAATATCTCTTGAATGCAGCCCCTTCTCACCATGACATTGCCACTACTAAAGTACAGGCCCTCATCACCTCAGGTCTGGATCATTTTAACAGCCTGCTGGTGGGTTTACCTGCCTCTAGTCTCTTCCTCTCTCCTATCCATCCTCCCATTCAGACACTAAAGTGATTTTCCTAGAGTGCAGGTCCAACCATGTCACCTTGCTACTCAAAACAAACAAACAAACAAACAAAAACTCCAGTGGCTCCCTGTTGCTTCTGGGATCACATATAAAATGCTGTTTGGCATTCAAAGACCTTCATAACCTAACCCCTCCTACCTTTTCAGTCTTCTTATATCTTATTCCCCAACAAATACTTTGATTAAATGGCACTGTCCTCCAGGCTGTTCCATGAACAATACAGTTCATTTCTTGGCTTTGGGCATTTTCTCTGGCTGTCCCTAATACCTGGAACACTCTCCTCCTCATTTCCCACTATTGACCTTTCTAGCTTACTTTAAGTTCCAATTAAAATTCCTTCTTTTACTGGAAGCCTTCCGAACCCCTCTTAATTCTAGTGGCTTTCCTCTTAACAACTTTCTACCATACCACATGCTTACTTTTTATATATTTGCATTTTGTCTCTCCCCCATTAGACTGTAAGCTTCTAGAAGGCAAGGACTCTGCCTCAATTCGTATCCCCGGTGCTCAGCACAGTATCTGGTACATACTTGGGGCTCAATAAAGGTTTACTGATTGATTGATACTAATTACCTATTATGTATAAAGCAGGCCAAAAGAGAAAGGAATGAGGCCCTGCTCCCAAATCCATTCAGTATCTCACTAATTAGGGTGGATTTTCTAAACCTTTTCATCCTTCCTCAAGCCTCTCTTGGTCTCCCTAGGTCCTCTACCTCAGCTGAGAACCTAGCCTCATATTCACTGAAAAAAATCCAGGCCATCATCTGAGAACATTCAGATGTCCTCTGCCGTATTCTCCATCACACAGTGAGCTGCTGGAGAGCAGGGATTGGGTTTTTTGCCTTTTATTTTGTATCCACTCAGCACAAGGCATGCATATAGTAAGTGCTTAATAAATGCTTGTTGACTTTCTAAAGGCCTATGTCAAACATGAACAGAAAGGTAAATACAAAATTTCCAGGCAACACCTCCACCATGAGTAAAGTCATCTTAAGCAATTCATAGCCTAATAGTATACTCTCCCTCAAACAGCAAGGCATGTTAGTATTTGCCTCCATAATATATAATTGTATAACTATCTTTTATGAATTCACATTGCAGACTTCAAGAAACTCTCAATCTTGGAAGGCCTAAGAATTCTGTGTGGATAGAGCAGCTTTACTGACCAAAGTCAGCCTGAGGCAACAATCCAGGGAAATTTTCTAAATCTTGGTGGGTGTAGTCAACATATGGGTGGGGAGGAGGGGGAGGAGGGCAGGTTAAAAGGAAAACTCTTTTAGGTGGCTAACTGGGCCACACCCACCTCTTCCAGTCTTCCCCAATTCATCTTTTGCCAGCTACCTCCTCTTAGCTCAGCCTCTTTCAATTCCCATCCCCCTAACCTTGCTTTATTCCAACCATGAAAAAAGTGTAAAAAAATAGATCTTATTTTGTTTTAAAGCTTGGCAGCCCTCCTCACCTCATGACACGGTTTGATATGCTGGCAGGTAAGTAAAAAGATACTAAGTGTTCTGCCCTTTGCTGCAAGCCTGCTGCAATGACCAAATACCTAGGGGGGAAACCCTTCCACTACAGAAGGTTGTGTGCACATAACGTGGTTAATGGCCCACAAAGTCCTTAGTAATGAGCAAATTACTTTCTAATCTCATTGCAGTCAGCCCCAGCAAGGTGACTAGGTTACAATCAGATAAAAACCATTACAGGACCTTTGGGGTTTAATGGGAGCAGAAAGAGACAGCCCTGTCCAAACTTCTTCTCTGGCCAGGGGCTATATTTCCAATTAACTTCTCCAAACCAAGAGCCCTTTCCTTAGGCTCCACATTAACTCCCCTTTCCCCTCAAGGTCCCCATCGCCTACCTCTCCTCCCTGGCCGGACTTGGCTGGGGCTGCTTATGTTCTCAAACTCACAAGTGTGCCCTCGAAGGCTGGCAGGGAAAGGGTGCTGGGTTACCTGTGCAGCCTCTCCCCGTCGCAGGGTTCCACCTCCAAGGAAACTGAACCCCTCCCTTCTCCTTTCCCCCTCCAGAACAGCATTCAAATTCCAGCCGGCAGAGGCCTCTTAGCCCCGCCCCCAAGGCCCGCCCCCTGCACTGCAAGCTTTTTCAGCCCTGGGCAGGCGCCCTAACTGCTGCCTGACCAGCCTCGCCCCCACCCTTTCCTGGCCGGTTTGGAAGGCGCGCTTGGGCCCCGCGAGCTTCGGGCACGCGCGCTCACCCTCGTTCGCGCGGAACCTGTGGCTTTGCAGACGTCGCTCTCTCTGCCTCCCCCCCTCCCTGCCGTTGCTGCAGTTTGATCCACCCCGGGGTGAGGAGGGTGGAGCGAGAAGGTGCCGCTTTCCGCGCTCTCTCTCCCTGCTGCGGTGGGCTCTGCACTGCAATTGGAAGGCGCTGCCCCGCGACGCCCATTCGCGGGAGTTCAGTCGAGGCTGCTCTTGCTACTGCGTCCTTTCCCCTCCCCCACCGCCCGCCCCTCCTCTTGGCCCTCGGCAGCGCAGCCTCTCCCGCGCCCAGCCCCCCTGGACTGAGCCCCCAGCCGAGCCCTCCTCCTCTCCAGACGGCGCCGACAGCCTGTGGGAGCTGTAGCTGTATCACCAGCCGGGAGAGAGAGAGAGAGAGAGAGGCCCTGCCGCACTGCTATCTGCTCGCACCCCTGCACCCACACCCCCTCCGCTCACATCCCCGTCCCTTAGCTCCCTCCCCGTCCCCGGAATGTCGGCTCTGGAGTGGTACGCGCACAAGTCCCTGGGCGACGGCATCTTCTGGATCCAGGAGCGCTTCTTCGAGTCCGGCAACCGCGCCAACATCTGGCTGGTGCGCGGCACGGAGCAGGACGTGGTGATCGACACCGGGCTGGGGCTTCGAAGCCTGCCCGAGTACCTGTACTCGGCCGGCCTACTGCAGGACCCGGACAAAGGGGAGGACTTGGTGCGGCGGCCGCTGCTGGCCGTGGCCACCCATGTCCACTTTGACCACGCCGGCGGGCTCTACCAGTTTGACCAGGTAGCGGTGCACCGGGCCGAGGCGGACGCCCTGGCCCGCGGGGACAACTTTGAGACTGCGACCTGGCTGTCGGAGAGCGAGGTGGTGCGGGCTCCGAGCCCCGGCTGGAACGCCAGGCAGTTTCGAGTGCAGGCGGTGCAGCCCACCCACATCCTGCAGGAGGGTAATGGAGCGCTGGCCCCTCCGTGGGGAGAGGGGCGCGAAGGGTGGGGGAGGGTGCATGCAGCCTGGAAGAGCAGCTAGTGATCTTAGCTAAGGGCGGGGGGAGAGGGAAGAGGGTGAAAGGGACGGAGATGCTTTGCCAAGTCACCAAAATGACACCTGTCTCCATTCCTTCCCTTGGAAGGAAAAAAGATGCCTGGAGAGGCCCCTTGGGTTCCCGGGGCCCTGCAGATGGGAGAGGAAAGCGCTCTGCTACAGTAGAGAGATACAATGTACTACAAGTGGAGTAGAAGATGGCCCCGCCCCCTAATTAATTTCGGGAGCCTGGTGCAGTGGGAATGCCACAGGCTGTGAGACTTGATTTCCTGAAAGATTTCCACCCACTTATTCCCATTCTGAGCACCTGTTTGACATTTCCAGTCACTTATGGGAAAAAAAATTTTTTTTTTCGCCTCAGCCGCTTCACAATATAGACCTTCCTCCTCCTTCAGACCCTACCTTGGAACGAAGAAAAATAGTTAAATAAAACAAAAAGACAGCAACCTTTTGCCGCGTTCCCCGCCCTTGGTTTCCATTGCTATTCAAAGGGGAAATGTTTTATTTGTATTTTAAGACCAATACTAGTTAACTGCTTTTTTAATCGGAGTTCAGATGCTTTTTAGTGTTGTTTATTCTCGTTACTGTCGTCGTTGGATGTATTTCCTTGGTCCTGCTATCTCCATTCTGCCTCAGTGAATAACAAGTCTTCCCAAATGACATCCGATTCTGACCCCATATACCTTATGTTTGTTGACAGCAGCCTGGATAGCTATCTAGAAAGCACCAGCTCTGAAGTGAGAGGGCCTGGGTTAAAATTCCACTTCACACTGCGTGTGTGACCTTGGGACGAATTAGAACTCTCTGAGCCTAAATGTTTTCGTATGGGCTGTAGATGCCATCTAAGGTGACTTCCAGTCGGGAGAAAATCATCCTTATTTCAATATATTTGGTTTCTTTTGTAATCTTATATTTTAATGCCTTTAAAAATATTCTGAGAAAAAGGTCATAGATTTTGCCAGACTGCCAAGGGAGAATACATCCACAAAACCCTTGCTTGCAAGTCTAGGCTGGTGAGAATCGTAAGATTCTCATTTTTCTTCTGTCTGGGCCTGTGATTTCCTTTGGGTATTATTCCCTCCACCTCATATTTGGCTCTGCTTCTTTTTTGTAACTTAGTGTTTTCAGAGTTGCCAGGTACATTGAAAGGTTGAGTGACTTCCTTACTGGCCCAGAGGCAGGATTTGAACTGAAGTCTCTCCGCAAAGCCAGATCTCTGGTAATTATACCAGAACAATATTCCATTACATTCATATGCCACAGTTTGTTGGGTTATTCTCCAATCTTTGGGCAGGCACTGGTTTTTAAAAAAAAAAATTTTTTTTGAGGCAATCTCTGTCAAGTGACTTGCCCAAAGTCACCCAAAGTGACTTGCCCAAGGTCTGAGGTCTCATTTGAACTCGGGTCTTCCAGGCTCCAGGGCCAGTGCTTGGTCCACTGTGCCACCTAGCTGCCCCTCAGGACACTGTTTTTAAATGAAATTTTGTTTTGTTTTTAGATCTATATTCTCTCCCTGCCAGCTTCCTCCACCCACAAATTCAGAAAGCAAGAGAAATAAAACTTAGTTACAAAAAGCGCTGTGCAGTCAAGTAAAACAAATTACTAAGTTGGCCATGTTCCCCCCCACAAAAAAAAAGTCTCCAAAATATGTATATCACATATTTCATCTTGAATCCTCTGGAATTGTAGTTGGTCTTATGTTAATCATAGTTCTTAAGTCTTTTAAAATTATCATCATATCGCTTTTACTGTATAAATTGTTTTCCTGGTTCAGTTCACTTAGAATCAATTCATTTGATTTTCCATGTTTCTCTGAAACCATCCCCTTAATCTTTTATTATTGCATAATAGTATTTCGTCACATATATTTACCCTTATTTCATTAGCCATTACCCAGTTGATGGGTACTCCCTCAGTTTCGAATTCTTTGCTACCACAAAAAGAGCCGATATAAATATTTTTGTGCCTGTGGGTATTTTTCCTCCCTCTAATCTCTTTGGGGGTATAGAGCTTGTAGTGGTTTTGTTGGGCTAAAAGGCATGGATGGTTTAATAATTTGGGGGGCATATTTCCAAATTGCTTTTGAATATGACTGGATTTCCCATAAACCCTCTAGCATTTGTCATTTAGCTTTTTTGTCAACTGTGTCAATATTATGGGAGTGTGGTGGAATCTCAGTTATTTTGTATTTTTCTAATTATTAGTGATTTAAAGGATTTTTTCATATGACTATTGATATCTCGGATTTCTTACTTTAAAAACTGCCTAGTGATATCCTTTGACCATTTATCATTCAGGGAATAGCTTAGTCTTATAAATTTAAGAAAATTCCCTATATGTTTTAGAAATGAAGTCTTTATCAGAGAGACTTACTACCCATTTATCTGCTTCTATTCTAAATGTGGCTGCATTGGTTTTATTGGTGCAAAATCTTTTAAAATTTTATGTAATTAAAATTATCCATTTATCTTGTGACCGTCTTTATCTCTAATTTGGTCATGAACTCTTTCCTTATCGGTACATGTAACAGATAATTTCTTCTTTGCACCCCTAGTTTAGTTATGATATGATCCTTTGTCCAGCAAGAACTTTTAAATAAAAAAGATAATCCATGACTTACATCAAATTGAGCAACCTTAATGCCAAGTTATTATTTTTTTTTTCCTGAGAATTTGTCCCATCATCAACTCAGTCCATGGAATTATTAATTCCAATGTAGCTTTAGAGAATTGTTCTAGAGAGCAATGATTGGAAACTATTTATACATTTATTTTATTTTTTTTAATTAATTTTATTTTTAGTTTTCAACAATCACTTCCATAAGCTTTTGAGTTTAAAATTTTCTCCACCTCCCTTCCCAAGATGACATGCGATATGATATAGGCTCTACATATACATTCCTATTAAACATATTTTCACATTAGTCATGTAAAAAAGAATTAGAACCAATAGGAGGGACCACAAGAAAGAAGAAACAAAACAAGAAAAAAAAGGAGTGAATAGTATACTTCAGTCTGTATTCAAACTCCATAGTTCTTTTTCTGATGTGAATAGCATTTTCCGTCATGAGACTTTTGGATATGTTTTAGATCGTGACATTGCTGAGAAGAGCTAAGTCTATCAAAGTTGGTCATAGCACAATGTGGCTGTTACTGTGTACAACTTTCTCCTGGTTCTTTTCACTTCACTCAGCATCAATCCATATAAGCCTTTCCAGGTTTTTCTGAAGTCGGCCTGCTCATCATTTCTTATAGCACAGTAGTATTCCGTTACATTCATATACCACAACTTGTTCAGCCATTCCCCAATTGATGGGCATACCCTCAATTTGCAGTTCTTTGCCACCATAAAAAGAGCTGCTATAAATATTTTTGTACAGGAGGGTCCTTTTCCCATTTTTTTGATCTCTTTCTAGGTCAAAGGGTATGCACATTTTTGTGGCCCTTTGGGCATCCTTCCAAATTTCTCTCCATAATGGTTGGATCAGTTCACAACTCCACCAACAATGCATTAATGTTCCAATTTTCCCACATCTTCTCCAATATTTTTATACATCTATTTTCTAAAAGGATTTTTGCCTTCCTTGTTGACTCAAAGAATTCCTTTGATTGTGAGAATAGAAAACCAATAGAGTAGGCATCGCATGAACATTTAACCTACCCAAATTCAGCTCCACAGTTCCACTAGATACACTAGCCAAAAAATAGGAAAAATTACAATTTAAATAATGCTATTTCTGGCCACTACTAAATGCAAATAGCCTATACCCAGGAATGCATGTTAGATGGGGAGAACAATCTGCTAATCCTTAAACTGCTCTAACATGTGGAAACACTGAGTGTGATTCTAGAACCTTCTCTTCACCGTGCCTACAAAATGGTAGAGCTAACAGCAGGTAGCCTTGGTTGGCTTTTCTAGCTTTCTCTGTTCATCTGAAAGGTCACTGCTGTGTACCTTTTTACTTTATCGTATCTCCTCTTGACTCAAGGTGAAGCAGAAGTGAAAAACCATTTTCATTCTAATTTTTTTTGGTGAAGCCCTTTCAAGGATATTTTTTTCCTTCATTATCAGTTTTCCAACCAACTAAGAGTCCACCTGTTTTGTTGTCTTCCTTTGAATGGAAGTTGTGACTACCTACTTCTCTTGATTAATAATTTAACTAATGAATTATGAAAAATAAAATTTGCATCCAGTTGTTTCCGTAGCAACCATCTCAAGTCTCACTTGCTGTGATAATACCCACTACCTTCTTTTAATAAGACCTGTCTCCTTTCTAGCTGTAACTTTTTAAAGATACTGTACCATATTTTGTGTGTGGCTTTAAGATTTTCCAGGGTACCATGTCATCACCTTACACACAAAGTTTGGAGTATTACAGTCCCCCCCCCCACACACACACACTCCTGCCCTCCTTATAAGATGCTATTTCACTGTAGGTTATTGAACGGTTTCTACATTTCTGCTATAACATACATTTTCCACCTGTGAACAAGGCCTGCTTTAAAAGGGCCTGCTGATGGATGTCTTCTTTTATATGAAGATGTGAGTACTGAGTAAGGTGTGCATTTTGAGTAATGAAGTAGTTGTTTCTGCAAATGTGAATGGTTTTGAACTAATTTACCTAGATTTCTTCCCCCCCCCCCCATCTGCACTTTGTTGTTGTTAACAATATGTGTTTTAAAAAGGACATTTGAGCTTAGGGCCCTGTTAGAAGCTGTGCCCATAAAGGTAAACCATGTCAGAAGAGAGCCTGTTATATTCACTTAATTCCAAAACTAAGTGAGCTAATTGGTTACAACAGCAGTGCACATCTGAGGTATGGATAGATGTTATTTCCAGTTAATAGGTAGGGAAATTGAAGCCTAATTAAGAAAAACTAGGCCCTTTTGCCCTATAATGTCTTCC